AGCTGCATAATGATCACAAGTGAAAATTAAAGTATTATCAGGCAGTAAATACAGTCTGCTGGTCTTCTGCTATTAACAAACAACCTCTTGCCTAAAATAAAGCTGAATGTGATGAAGGTAACTCCTGAATGGTTACCTTGACCTAAATTTTCCAAATACCGTAAATGCCATGCAAGTTTCTCATCACTTTTCTGAAAACTATGATTGCTTTCACTGATTAATGAATTTTAAAGCCACCTAAAGCATATTTAGGAAACACATTTGATATCAGAACAGCTCTCACAGTACAGTTTTGCTCTTTAATATGAGTCCAAAATACAGCTGCAGACTTGTCTACCTAATTTTTGAGACAGGGTGCACTATTTTCTACTAAAAAGCCTGCAGCTATCAAGCATTTTCAGAAAGCTTATATTCAGGATTGGTTTCTGTGCTTAGTATTTCTTGTGTCTTCTGGCATGAAAAAGAGAAGCTTGATACATTTGAAATACCAATGTGTTAATACAAAAAAGATCATGCCCAGATTAACTATATTAACAATTAATTTTTTTTAATCTATGTGTTTATCTATGTGACCACTACTAATAAGAGGTCATTTGATAAGTGATCTAATGTGTAACTGGGAAAATGAGAACCAATTGAAAGACAAAAGCCTCAAAATATGAAATTGATGGGTTGTGTCCACACATCCCTTACATTCTGTCTTGTTCTTGCTTTCCTGGCCTGTGTAACTTTCGGGTTTGCACTTGTATCTGATCACCAAATCAAGTCCTTCACCTCCAAAGGAATAGTAAACAGTTGTACAAATATCACCACTGAGGAGAGGAGAGTCTTTTGTTGATGTTTATAGGCAAGATACAATTTTTATATTAAACATGAACACCCAGTGCAAAATACAACTTTGTGTGACTGAAATTCTGCACTCAGTTCTTTGCTCTGAAGAAATGCCTATCTTCCTATTTGACAGAATCACACAGAATCACAGAACATGCCCAGTTGGATCACCGAGTCCAACCCCTGGCCCTGCCCAGCATCATTCCCAAGAGTCACAACACATGCCTGAAAGCATTGTCCAAACCCTTCTTGAACTCTGTCAGGCTTGGTGCTGTATATTTGTTATTTGTAGTTTTTAGAGGCATGGGAGACAGCAGTTGCAATTTCTAGAGCTGATGTCCTGCCTGCACTCTGATTTCAGGTGTGTTAGTGAGTTTCAAGCCATGCACTACCATAGCTGCTACCCAGGCAATGAGCAGCACCCAGTACAGCATCAGGGTCAGTAACTGGCTTGGATTCCTTACCTGAAGAAATATTCCAGACTGTAAGGTCGAGAGGTTTTAATAAAATAAAGACATATTTTCCCAGTTGGCACAAGCAAAACCAAACATTAGACCTTAATTTTGTAGTAAGATTAAATGATTTTAGGCTGGTGACCATTCAGACAGAATACCCTGCCAGCTGCCCGTGTCTTTTACAAACAACTCTTCAACTCATCATGTATTGTCTCAATGCCATACTTCTAGCTAAAAACTGTAGGCTAAATTTACTGTCTGATCACCACCCTAGGGCTCCAAACGCAGTACAAGCCAGAAAGCTCTATGAGTATCAGTCTCAAGAACATAATCTTTAACAAATGAGATTCCATGAGCTGGTTCTGAACCAGCTTCACTTTTGTGGTGGGCACAGTTGAAACACAGCCTACCCATCAGCCTGGCTATGGCTGAGAAAGGTCTGGATGTCAGCTGCAAGGTCTAGGAAAGCAATGGAAACAAAGTCCTAATTCTGTTGGCATACACAAAGACATTTGGCTGGTTTGTAGCCATTTTCAGCCTTTCCAGCTGTTTTCAGCCCACAGGCCATATCTATTGTTTTGACACTATCCCAGTACTATGGTGGTTTCAGCCAAACTTCCTGACCCCCTGTGCTGTCAGGGTCTTAAAGCTGTCATGGAGCAACAAGGGGGCCTGCTCCACAAGGGAAGGCAAGCCAGCAGTGGAAGGGCAATGTAGGGCAGTGACCTCACTGCTGGGGGTGCAGTCCCACAGTACCTGAAGGACAGCAGAGCAGGTCTGATGGCAGGAACCAGCTTCACACAACAGTCCTGTGATCACTGGACAGGTCCATGGGGATGAGGGATGTCCATGTCACACAAGGAAGTCAAATCATCAAGGCAAAGGCAGAATCAGACGAGCAAAGAACTGAATTCCTGCAAAGTAGATTAGGCAAGCACCAAGGTCAAGGACCTGGGTTTAAGCACTGCTCTTGAGTCAAGGGTCTGGTGAGACTCCCAGGAGACTTCCCACAGCTCTCTCACACAGGTCTTCCTCACTGACCAGCTGGATCCAAGGTCACCCAGCTGTAGGCAGTCAAACCCCTTTGAGGACCAGGAGGAGAGCCTGGCAGTGCCTTCAGGATGCAGGCATGGAGCTGTCAGTCACCTCTGCACCAGGGACACAGGAAACACTGCTGCTTGTAATAGTCGTCATCCCTGAGCTCTGTCCTGAGCAACCTCAGCCATCCCTCATGACCTACACTGAGGAGTTCACCAGGCCATCAGCCTGGTTCCCAAGAGGGCAGCCTCACCAGACTCACAAAACCTCATGGCATTCCTGGGCTCTCAAGCATCACATGCCTTTATGGCAGAAACACACCAAGGTTTCCGCGTATTTACTGGGCTGGCCATGCTTCCATAGAGCCAAAAGATAATAAGGAAGAGGCTGTGTACCACAGAGGAATATCCCATCAAACTTCCAAGTGAAGGAGCATATACTAGCCTGTGTCCCAGTTTAGCTGCCAATGGGGAGTCTGTGTTTAAATGTGAACACGTAAACTTCTGATTTTCCTCCCCAGCATTTAAATAAAGACCAACCACCTTTGCAATATAATAGAGTATGTTGGAGTATCCTTATAATTTTGCTTGGACAGCATGGCACAAGAAGATCTGTAGAGCTGTTTCCCTCCATCTCAGCACAGCACTTGCTAAGATAGCAGAGCAATTAAAATTGTAGCCTCCTGTTCTATAAGAGAAGCGTAAACTACATGTTTTGATAATTGCAGTGCCACAGCATCTGAAGATTAACTCGTTGTTTCATGGTTTTCTTCAGTCCAGATTCAGATTCCCAGTGTGATGGTGTCACAAATAAGCAAAGTAATTTGAGAGGAAGAAGAAAGAAGAAGAAACTTGATAGATGTGTTCCTGTCAGTCAGTCTCTCACAATGACCATGTAAAAATTTCTGCTGAGTCACTGTTGACAAAGTTATTGGTGTTACAGAATGTTCTCTGGATCCCCTCCCAGAAGGGGAACACATAAAGCTAATAAATCAATCCACAATTTCACTGAACATTAGCTGAAAGGCAGCTACGCAGTGCACAGGCTTGAGAAGACTAAGCAGTACAGCTGAACAAGAATGCTTTTCTTCACAGAGATACCTTCCTTCACTTCAAACCTGCATGCTTGCTTTTCTTCTGTTCTGTAACCATTCAAAACAACCCTGTAGTCCACATATTAAGGAAACCCTATTAAACTGGAACCTTTACGGTCATGTTCTCTGATTTGATTTTTTTCTAGAGTCCATAAGCTTTGTGGTATTCTGAACAATTCAAAGTTCAGTGAGATGGGAAAGTAGCACCTCTATGTTTCAACTTCATGCTTCTGCTTTCCCTCTACTATTCCTGGCATGAAAAAAAATCTTTTGGCTTGGAAATAATAATAATAAGTAGCTTATGCTTATGGTCTAACATTAGGAAGAAAAACAACCTCACAGAGATGCTATCAACTCTTCAGTAGTCAGAGTAATTATTACCAACAATTCATACCACAGCAAAACTCCCACTCTAACTCTATTTAACTTTGTTTATTGAGGACAACAGACATCTAGACATCTTTTCTCATATCAAAGCCTGAAGAGGGAATTACCAACAAATTCTGGCACACAATCACATTCTTTTAAAATACATTGTTATATATCATGAGATCCCTGAAACCAGAGAAGTTTTCATAAAATTCAGACCACATTATTTCAAAAGGTTTGGAGGGGAAGGATAAAAATAATAGTAAAAAAAAAGGTAGTATAATTACTGTCAGTGGCAAATGGATTGAAAAAAGAAGCAGGAATACCCCTATGATGACAGTGCATTTCCTGAAATGCAAATCAAGACACCATGTTGTGTGAAATGGTGTCTGCTCAAACTTTTAATAAAACTAGAAATCCTTATTGCTTATTTATTTAGTTGGATTGTTGCTATACACAGAGTAGGAAAAATATATTTATTGGGTTACCAACAGAAAAATACACGGGAGGAAACTGAGTATGGAGTTATGGATATCTGACAGTACTATTCACTTTGACATAACATGGATACTAAACAGGAATAAAGTTCCACTGACAGTTGACTCAGGAGTTACCTGCACAAGGCCTAAGAAACAACATTAACTGAATAATCACAGAATCACGGAATGGGTCAGGCTGGCAGGGGCCACAGGGACTCATCTGGTCCAACCTCCCTGCTCAAGCAGGGTCATCCTAGAGCACCTGGCACAGGATTGTGTCCAGATGGTTCTTGAACATCTCCAGTGAGGGAGACTCCACAACCTCTCAGGACAACCTGTTCCAGTGCTTGGTCACCCACACAGTGAAGAAGTTCTTCCTCACATCCAGGTGAAACTTCCTGTGCATCAGTATTGGCCTCTTGTCCTGTTGCTTGCCACCACTGAGAAGAGTCTGGCTCCTCTCTTGACACCCCCTTGATTATATATACGTCTGAAACTGCACCACAAAGTGAAACACACCAATTTTTAAGAAACAATTTTGAAGGTAAGTGTTTAAATTAGACTTCTGGACAGAAAAGAAATATTGAGTTCTCATATGCATTATTCATTTTAGAAGTAGATCATGATAGATTCTTTCCTCAGTTGAAAAAATTATAAAAAGTTGCTTAACTAGAAGTATAAATTTGCTTAACTAAAAGTATCAAATTTAAATGCATTTTTTTCTTTGTAAAAAACGTTACATTTTACAAGAAGGTCACACTTTCACTGGCAGATGATGCTCACATCAGTGATGTCACGTTTCAAACTTTACAGGGTTTCAGTAACAATGGGATAACCCTTAAGATACAGATATAATCCACAATCAAGACAAAAACCACAATATAGCATAGACATGACACATTATTCATGCTGAGGAAAGTGTTGTAATATAAACAAGTATTACAAAAATATGCAAAAATTATAGTTTAAGTCTTAAATTTACACGCAGGAATACCTCACAATATTATAAAAACCAATTCAGACTTTCCTTTGTCAAATGGACAAAGCACTGTAGCTACACTGGGATGCTACTGTGCCTCAGATACCTGTAACTTAAGTTTTAGTGATTCTGGTCTCATAACAAGCTTAGACTTTACATTATACGTGCTTAACAAGCTGAACCGCCTCAGCTTTGTGTGATTTCCTCCACAGTCACACTGTTCAGTTACTCTGCAGAGTTCATAAAAACAGGCTTTCATAAACAGTAATTATCCCAGTGGCAACTATTCCACCATCCCAGTATGCCACTTGTAGACATGAATTCTTTACTGAGGAGGAAGGTGGTGTCTCCTCCAGTGTGCATGTCCCGATCCTCTACCTGGAGGAGTAAGACAGGAATTAAATACATTCAATGAAAATTAAAGCAAGAAAACAAGGGCTTATTAAGACAGCCTGCAAGAAAAGTTACATTTATAGATATCGTAAAAAAAATTACATGTCCCTGTCCAGGTGGTGTGTAATTATGGCTAGTATTCTGAGATCTTGCAGGATAAAGTGCATGGTGGCTCTTGGGTGACTGTAACTTTTAAACTTAGCCCAATTAATGGGTAGAGATAGTGAATCTCATCTGTAGCTGTTAGATCTGACTGTATGAATTCAGGTAAGGATAATACACAGTTTAAAACCAGACATAAACTATATTTGCCAGTATTTTCACATTGGTTTAAGTGTGCCTGTGCACAATACTGCTTTAGTTTAGACAGTCCTATTAGCACACCAGTGCTCACAATGTAAATTAAATCTTTTCTCAGCCCTGAAATTCTACCAGGTCCCATCTGCGTTACAGTTCTACCAAACTCCTATTAATCAGAAACACGCTTGAAAGCAACACCAGTGTGGAATTCTTGACTAAGTACCTTGCAAATGAGAGGCTGCTTGTATTATCAGCAGTTATGTGTTTTACAGTGTGCTATGACTGAAGTGAATGTACTCTTTTGATGCAATTACATTCTGTGAAGAAACAGATAATTAACAGTGTTTTCCGTAGTTCTTAAGGCTCAATTTATTTTTAGGTTCTTACAGCATGAGTTAACGTTGTGATGTAAAACAATGTATCAGTTGCCTTAAGTTTGTCTACCAATAGGGCATGTGGGCTGTGGTGTGGTGTTGCAGCCACAAACCTAAAATCCATAAATTATCAAAAAAGAAATATTAAGGGAAAATCTACCTTCATGAGGCTTAGATGTCCTTCTCTGAGTAACATGGATGTGCTTTTATTCATTTGTAACACACAGCCAAGAAATTTATGGAGAGAAGTTAGATGAATAAAATCAAACAAAAAAAACCCTCCAACCCTCCCAAAATGCACAAAAAGCCACAGCTGAATTCCCTGCACTCAGAATACAGCTAGAGGACAAGCTGCTTATTACAGCAACTGGGTGGTTACTATTGACCATAGAATTAAGGATGCCTGAGTCCAGGTTTTGTTCTGGCTGAGGGCATTCAAGCTATCCTCTCAGAGAAATACCATTGCTTCTCGGGTTGATGCTTTCTTGGTGGAGGCACTCTTTCCTCCACTGGTGAAGCTGAGACATTGTCACAGAATTCTTAAACATTAACTGATAAGAGAGAGCAAAGGCTGCCTAATCGTTATGTACACTACTGACACAGAAGATATGGGTCCCATGGTTACTCTTCCATTACTATTTACTGCATTTAATCCAATGTTTTATATATTATATGCAACAGCAGGAGCCATAACAGTGTATAATGAGGATGGGCTAGACAGATATCAGTAATATTAGGGAGTTTTATCACATAAGCTAGAAACATTAAGAGAAAATGGCTACTTTTTTGTTCTTTTTTCCCTCTCTTTGGTGAGACACACATATTGCAGAGACAACAGCTTCATAGAGAAGTATCCCAAATACCTGGGCTAATATTAGCAAACCTAGGACAAGAATTTTGTCAAAGTGAGTCATGTTGGGAGATCACTTTAAAAGAAGCTCTAAAACATTGCAGGGCTCTTTTGTAAGGACAGATGTATTTTTCCAATGAACCTGTTTTACTTATAACACAGGTGATTAAACTGCAGTTATGGGATCATGTTTTAAGAGTGTCCTGAGGGTAAGAAATAGGGCTAGTGTAGAAGCAGCCAAGATGTTTAAATAATGCTACTGAAAGACATTTGTAACATAGCAGCACAGTTACTGTGGAACATACTTTGTGGAATACACCTAGCCCTAAGATCTCTGGAGCTAGTCAGAGATTGCATGACCCCTGAATATCAGGTTTCTTCAGATGGTCAAGAACTGGCAACAATGACTAGTTTGGGTTTTGCCTATGGTTAGCACACATACTCTATATTTTAGCTTTATATTTTACATAGAGGATCAAAGAATATTATTCGAGAATCAAATGATATTATCTTACTCTGAAGCATTCAACAGTGGCTGCTGAAACACATTAAAGACTTCACTGTATCTATTTATTATTTATCTTTCCTAATCACATCAGTGATCTTATTTGAAAACCTCCCCGGGAAACAAAAGAAATTCAGGCTTTGCAGACTTAATAAAATAATTGATGTTTCTTAGACACCTCTCTCCCTTTTGCTTATTTTCCTTAATCTATGTGTATGTGCTTCAACTCACAGGAACGAGGCAGTAAAACTGAATTAAGTCAGCTCAACAGTGTTATCCACAGTGGCATTTCACTGCTCTTTTCAAGAAGTGAGACTGGTGAATGACTTAAGATTAATGCCAAGGCAAGACAGAACTTGTATTTGTATCACTTAGGCAGTGACCTGGAAGTGGAGACGCTGATCTAGAAAACCACTTAAGAATGTGTTTAACTTTTTTCATATGCTTGAGTGTTTTGTTGAAGTATGAACAAAGATCTGCAGCTAAAGACTTCAGACACATTTCTGTGCAGCTGTGCCAATTTGTTTTAGAACTATTACAATTTTAAACACAGTTCAGCTGAGACCAAGCATGATAATTACAAATACCACATGAAAGCTTATTTCCCGGAACACTGTGAGTAGAAGATGACTGCAGATTACAATGCTACACTCCACCTCACCCTGCAGAGTTAGTTTTTGCAAGTGGCAATACACAACTCTGTAACTGATGCAAGTTTTGTTGCTGACTGCTGTAGGGTAACTGCACACATAAACATGAACTGCAGCTAGACACAGAGCTGTTACACTGGTGATAGGGACAATTCCAAACCCACAAACACGTAGCCATTTTTTACCTTGGAATTGCAGATGTCTTTGTGTGAACCCCCTCATTTGGTTATGATATGGAGAAACAAAACGACTTCTGTGTGAATGTTGGAACCTGGGATTAAAATCTCTTTGTTCTCTTCCTGAAAAACAATATTCACTAATCAACTCTGACAGTATGTAAGATTAAATGAAGAAAAAGAGAGATGGTGTATTCTTCTTCAGGAAACAGTATTTCTTACTTTTGTGCCAAAATACTCTTGAACAATTACGATCTTTCCAAACTAAATTCAGCCTAACAAGCATGGTTCTTGTCCTCATTTCCATCTATGCACATCATGATTATAGGCTGTTAACAAGTGTATTTAGAAACCAGATCAAAATTTTATGACACAGATTTGGAAACTGCAGTCATTAAAACAAACAGAAATCTCTCTCCAAATTGGAATCACAAATCATAATTAAAATGGTTAAATATAGCTCTCAAGGAAAAGCAGATGCTACCAAGGTCTGGTATTATAAATCATCAACAGATATCCTCAATTTTGAGTGTCCAGCATGAAGCTGTTGTAGAGCCACATCAGGAGTACTGCTGCCATATAATGCAAAGTAGTGAACTAGCAGAAAATCATTCTGTCTGTTGTCATTTGCTCAAGGAATTCTGAAGGGGTAATTTTTAGCCTCACAGATGTTATAACTGATCAGGTATTAGGCAAGTAATAAATAGAATATGAGCATAAACACTGAGATTCAGGGTAAATTATTTCAAAGTCTCAAAGCCTCAATATTCAGGCTGATCTGAGATTGATGTTAAAAACATTTTAGATGTTTTTTCCCCAAAAGTCAGGCAGATCAGGTAGGGAAAACAAATTTGCAAACTGAGCTCTTGAGCAAACTGAGCTTTGAGGGAAAAGAGCAAGATCTCAAACAAAAAAGCACAGTTCTTCAAGTTGCCCAAAAGCTCTCTTTTATTTTGAAATATATCAGCGAGTCCAATAAGAAGTATTTCATCTTCAATGCCTCACTCAGACCTTCAACTCAACGATCAGTGTTAAACAGCTCCCCTGAGGCAATGAAAGAAAAAGCTGAGTCATTTAATTTCTCTTATAAAAATATCTTTAGTCACTGAATAAATAGTGATGTTTCTGTCAATAAAGGATACTTATTGCATATATCTCACTAACTATGTACCTAGATGGAAATATTATTCCATGTAAACTTGGGTAATCAAATTCATATAAATTGCTAAAAAGGGAAGTATTTTCTTACATCTATTCATTGCTTCTTGGAGAAAGAACTTAAAATTTACTTAGCTTGATGAGCTGCTTATGTAATAGCTGCTGCTGTTGAAAGAAAATTTAGGTCATCAATATAGTAACTTTTTTGAGAAAATTCACACAATGCCAACCTGTGTTACATCTGTTCCCTCTTGGTCTGCTCTGTATCGTTCTTTTCTTTGCCATGCAAACCTTGCAAATGAGAGACTTCAGATTCTGGAAGGGTGTGTACAAAGATTCCTGCAGAAAACACAGTTAAAAATCAATGGCTCTTCTGCTCTTCTTTCTTCAGATGTAGCACAAATCAAACACATACACAACAACTAAAAGTCTTGTCTTAGCCACAGCTGTGCATGCACGAAGGCAGTAGATCTGGTTCACACTTTTACAGGAAATAAAGTTTGAACATTTAATATTAAATGTAGATACTTGGAGGGATGAGTAGGGGTGCAGAAAAAATGCTTCTCCCTTTCTCAGTGAAGTGTGTTTTCCTTCTCTGCTCACATCTGTAAATCCCTTGCTGTCCTATTCCATGACCTTGCACCTGTAGATACACTTAACTAGACTTCCATCTGCAATACCTCAGGCAGAGATGGTTAAAGCCTCTAGATAAGGACAGATGAACTCACGGAAAATACACCAGTTAAAATCAGTCTTTCAATCTCATACATTAGAAACAAAACTTAACCCAGCAGTAATGCATCTGCCCCAAAACCTGACTGATAAAACATAACTAAGTCTAAAAAGAAACAGAGGAATTAAATTCAAGTGTGTACCTTGTGGTGTGATGAAAAATTCTACTGTCAAAAGGACAAGCTGAAGCTATTTAAGGATGCAATATTGAGAGACGTGATACATCCTTAACTTTCTCTGATTTCTGTGATCTTAGAATGTGTTTCTTTTTTACCAGATTGGTACTGGGCATGTGGGACTTACTACATAATGAATTAGGAAAAGAGAGATTTTAGAACAATAGCATAATTTGTGACTTTCATAAAATAGAACTGATTTTTACAGGATGGCATTTTCTTTTTTAGGAGCAGGAAGGAGAGAAGAAGATGACAAGATAAGCTAAAAAATCTAATAGGTAGCAAGACTGAAGTAACTAGAGAGGTTTCTTAAGTTAGAGGTAGAGTCTGACTTCCTGAACCCTGCTGAGAACTTCCCTATACAATTTTTTTGAGTTAACAAACCTCTTCAGGAAGACTTAACTAAAACACACAGATTTAAAAAAAAAAAATTGTTTTACCACACAAACTATGTCCAGCCTGTGAAGAACATCCTCTAATGAGGAAAACCTTTTATTTTATTCCTGGGACAATAAATTCAGAATGTATGGAGGTCGGATGAAAAGCAAGAAAGCAAGATCAGAAAAGAACAAAACATATAATTTATGCCAACCCCGTGATGTAATTTGGTTTTAATTTAAAAAAATTGATCATGAACATACTCATTAGTGAGAAGCACAATAAAAAGGCTAATAAAGTGATAATATCATTGCCTCACTTCTTTATGAGACTATTATAGCCAATTTTCTGTGAGGATAAACAAACTAATATGATTACAGTTTTGAAAAACAGAACTAGATAATATGAGCTAAGCATAATTTTTTAAAAAAACAAGATGGCTCTATTTTTATTCTTATCAGAAGCTGTCCATTTTTTATATCTTTACCAGCTGTTAGGCTACAAAGAGCTGAGCTACACAAAAACTTGCCCACAAAAATATCAACTGTATTTAATGTACACATTTTCTTCTTTTGGTATGAGAGCCTGTAGGAAGCAAACCCTAAAATGTTCAAAATTTTTGATACACATGTAAATATTTAACCAGGATTGTATTTCCACTGTAACTGTAGGAAACCTATTAACTGTATTTAAGCCTATCATATTCAAAACAACACTGATTCTGAGATTGCCTCAAGTCCCTAAAATAATGCAACTGTCCAGATAATAGAGAAGCGACCCTAGGAGTTAGGAGACAAGCACTGAATAACCAAAGGAATAACTTTTTTCCCATTATATTTTTCTTTTCCATAACGAAACATCTCACATAGAATAACTTTTTTTTTTCCCCCCCTGAATACAATACTGTCACTATCACCAGATTAGATTTATGGTGCTCAAGGTTAACAACTTGTTAACAAACAAGTGCTGAAAGATCTTGGCTTCCAGCAGTACATTAAGCTCTGCCAGGAACTAAGTACCATTTTTATTTATTGAAGTTGAACTTATAATAAAGTTGAACTTATAATAATAGGAAAAACCAATCACATATACTTGTTGCCTTGCCAGTGTTCCCAGCTAAACTGGCATCTCTTGGCAATTCTCCCCAAAACAGATTCTTGCCTCAGACTGATAAGCTGGAAAGCTATTTTATTAGTCTGGGTACATATCTCTGCCATATATGTACCATAAAATTGTACTTAAAAAAGAAAAAGGTATTTAAACTAGTCTGAAAGTTCACATAGCTAGAGTATTTTTCCTCACAACAGAACAGTTTATCTGTGTTTTTTTTTTAAACAGAGCATCAGGCTTTTAAAAACCCTAACCTAGATATTTCAGTTGACCAAGCATATTTCTAACTGTTCAAGGAAAGTCAGATTTTTCTTCATCTTTGTTATAAAACAGAATAAAATAGAACTCCAACACTAACGTAAGGTTTTAAAACATTACCTAAAACATACTACATAACACATCTAAAAATACCTGTATCAATTAATATAAAAGTTGTACAAATTTAAATATGTATTGTTGAAGTTATCCATTAACCTGAATTCTACCCAAATGGAAAACAAGTATCAATTTCACCCAGATCTAGATACTTTTACATTTTTCCATTTATTCTTTAAACCCTCTATTGTTTTGCAGAAGTCCTGCATGAAATTCCTGGATGAACCATTAGCCCAATCCAAAATCTATTGAAATCAACAGACCAATTAATAGGAACCACAGGATTTGGATAGAGGTTATGGTCCTAATCATATGATTGAACACATATGGAAAGAATTATTCTCCTTCTTCATGCTAAAAACATGCTCATTCCACCCACCCACAAGAGCTGCACTCCTCACTCCAGATCAGCATGGTATGCAGCTGGACATAAAATCACAAAAGAAAACCAGCTATACAAAAACAACAGGCATTGAATGCATGAGATCAAAATAAATCAAAACTGAAACCTTTTTTCTCTGTAATTACTTTACTTTAACCTCAAGTGATACATTCAGTAGTAGGTAAAAGTATTTCAAAGGTAAGATTTTCAAAAACAATTAAATGATACAGGCTTTTCAGACACATAAATTGAAAAAGACACATTAATTCAAGGTCTTTAGAGCTACCTTCCCAGATGGGTACAGATCTACCCAAGCATCTCTCCACATATTCTGTGCTGGTGGGGCATGAGGCAGGTCTGGTTTGAGGCTTCACCAGAACATCAGCACAGTCTTGCACTGAGTCTAGCAGACTCTAAGGTTGCTCCACCTCTAAGCCTGGACATGACGCCACTGTGCAATGCACAGTGCTCAGCACGACCCTGCTACCTCCCTGCCCAAACATGTTTGAAATCTTACGGGTCTTTTGGTAACACAGCATGCAAATCTTATAAATCCCCACATTTGTAAGAGAGAGTGTGACTGAGAACTAAATAAGTACTTAGAGCTACAGGAAAGTAATTGGTGAGATTCTAAAAGATATACCCATACTTACCTGGTCTAAAAGAATGTACTTTCTTCTGATTTCCAGCTCCTCTTTGAGTTTGCCAAACCTTCACCTCAGAATTTAGGTTCCTTAATGCCTTTAAAAATATCACCCTCAAACATTTGTTTTTTGAAAAGTGTTCTTAATATGTTGCTTAAAATTTTACGGGAGAAAGATCTCATTAATATTTCAGTACTAGAAAACTATTTTGGGCATTTTGATTTTTGAAATTGACAACTCTTTTCCTATTTTCTGAGTAGTGGGAACAAAAATAAAAGTAAAACTACAGCTTCCTTCATAAGCTCGGTATTTCTACTTTTTTTAAAATTATTTTTTGTGGAGAGAAGGAAAAAGGAATAAGAAAGAGAAGAAAAATACAAAGAAAGGGGAACAGCATAAACACGAATATTAAAACAACAAACAAAATGGACAGGTACATTTTTACAAAGAATGTAGAACTAAAACGAAGTGATTGCTTACATTGCCTTCCAAAAGTTCTTCCACAGAGCAACCGCGGTGTGACTTCTGGTATTTTTCTTGAAAAAGTTTTCCATCAAACACTGCCCAGGGCATCAGATCATCCATCCTGAAGGGATGGCCACAGGCACTGTTGGCCATGAGCAAAGTCGTAAGGCCACGGATGAGGACAGCACCCAGATGTACAGCCCTGGAGTCTACTTCTGCAAGCTGTGAACACACACACACATGCGAAGGCAGGTCTCATAAATCAGGAAATATGAGCCATCTTACCATCACATATAAACATGCAAACAGCAGAGAAAATGATCAACTGTCCCTCTGTCCGTGATGGCCCTCTACTCCACAGCAGAATTTGTCTGAGGATTCTGTACCTAATTATATTCAATAAAGTGAAATAAGTGGAGTTTAACAAACACAGCATCTCATTCAAGTTTTTAAGACAAATTCATCCGAAATGTAAATGGAAAGACAGAATAAATGGCTCCGTAGTATTTTTCAAACATTAGCAGTTCTGCAGGAAAAAAAGTTCCGTTAGTGGAATGCAAAGCATGAACTGGGAGTGAAAATTGATATGTACAGTGATCCACTGACCTTCCAGAGTTTGCTTACCCCGGAAATGTTACAGCATTTAGAGATCATTTAAATTGCAGGATTTGACAGAACAAAGTTTATTGTATCCAAGCTTTTATTTTAAGCACTCTAGAATTTCCTTTGACTGTAATCTGAAAGTCAAATTATTTCACTTCAACCTGGATGTCTCCAGAAGAAATACTGGAATCGTGTGACAACATTTAGAAAATGCATAATGAGAAACTCAACAAGACAATTAAAACTCACAGCCAAAATAAACTCCATGGGTGAATTTAACATCCTGTTGTGGCAGAGGACAGCAAAATATAAAAACCTTGAATTCAGTATGGGGGAACAGTCTGCTTTTAAGTACTGTTTAAACATAGTACAAAGCTCCTCAGTGGGCACTGCCTTTTCCAGTCTGTACCAAAGCAGTCTGTTAGGATCAGGAGAGATTGTGTGCCATCAATACTGTAATCCGTGGTAAGTGTTGTACCCTTACAGTATAAATTATACCAGAAATAGAAGAGTATCCAAAACAGTCCAGAACAGAAAGGGCAAAAAGTGACTCAAATTGTCTTAGCTCTAGCTCCTAGGGCTGTGAACTGTTTGTCTGAAATGCAATGGAAAGGGTTGGCCATTATTACTACATCTTACATCTTGAAAGATCTCCAAAAGACTTAAAGGTATGAACATACATCATCAGTGCCTTATTTTTAAAAATTAACAAAATCCATGAAATGTAGTACTAATGAATCACAATTTTTCTCTCCTAAGGCCCACATAACAAAATCAGGAAACCTTTGATAGCAACAAAAAGCTACAAAGCTTCTTCCAAAAATGAAAATCAAAAATCATTTGGAGAAGAGGGCCACACCCTGATGAAGGAGCTAGGTTTTCTGCACTGTTATGCAATGAGCTGAATTCTGTTGCAAAATTTGCCGAGGTGAAGCTGACTTCTGTGATGGGGTTCTTCCTAACCACAGAAAAGGGACAGTAGGGTTCTGTTGAGTTGACTTGAAGATACGAGGTGCATCTCCATGGGCTGCTTTCTGTAAAATGCAAATGCAAAAGAAGACTCAGATATGATGCAGGCAGGGAGATGCCAGGCAGGGAGGCTCAGAGCCCTCTGGGAAGAACTTCTTCTGTCTCTAGTGATTCCTGCAAAGGCATCAAGCTGGCCATCAGGGCACTGACCCAACATAACAGTCAGTAGTTGAAATTCATCCAGTGCAGACAACTGGAGACAACCACCGACATCCATTAAAATGCAAACAACACAAGCTGATTTCACAGAATTGTACAATGATTGAGGTTGAAAGAGACCCTAAAGTTCATCTAGTTTCAAGCCTCCTGCCATGGGCAGGGACACCTCCCACAAGAATTTGAGCAGTCATTTAGAAAATGAAAGGTCCATATTTTTCTGATCATGACACTTTATATTTGAGTAAGGAGACTCTCTTCTGCCCTCCTTTTAAAACTAATGTATTTTCAGTTGGGGATCAGGCCACTGAGTTTCAGGAAGTTATTGCCTCCAGATGTCAGCTACCATTTTGCCAGCTGAGACTAGTAACTAACTACTACTATGCACACTCATAACTCTCTTGGTCTGGCAAGTAAAGCAGGGGTTTGCAAACTGTTTAACAATGCTGAAGGGTACTTGAGAGAGGAATGTGGTTTAAGTGAACCAGTATTTGTACTAAAGTAAACTGCCAGAGTGCACACAGTCACTTATCATGTGGCAGCTGAGATTCTTATATTGCATTTAGTAGATTGTTTCTGATCACCAGATCAAATCTTAAGACCTGCAAAGGAAGTGTGTCCACATCATTTACAACCCTAGCTATGTTCTTTTCTGTGAAACTTGAGAAATATTGACCAAAAAGATAAAATCATGTTGCTGGTGTCAGGCTGCATAGTTAGAAGATTTCATTGTCTAGGGATATCAGTCCAGAACTTTTCTAAAGCACTGAAGTATTGCAGGGTGGAGGGTTTGTGTGTGAAGATATCAGGTAAGGCTTGGTGTTTTAATGGAAATTAGTATGAACAAGACCAAGGCAAGAGCTATCAACAGTGATTTCTTTATTTTAATAGGACAGGAAATACATTCACTAAAGAGTAGTCTCTATTTTCCATGTCTGGCAATGAAAACCAAAGAAAAGGAAAGCACAGTGAGCCTGTAACAATGAGGCTGTGCACATGGCAAACCACAGAGTTGCCTTGCCATGGGAATGCTCACAACTGCTCGGTGTCTGCAATGTTAAGACATCATGATGAGAAGTGGAAAATTCCAAAAGAAAAGAAGTCTTGTCCTGCAGGGCATTACACCCTAGAGATTACTTCCTTTCGGAAATTGTGCTCTTTTTACCATTTCTATAAACTCAGGACCCCAGTGAACCACGTGAGATACAGCCTGTGATCCTGCTGCTGCTACTCCTACCACCAGCTGATGACATTTGTGTGAGAGACACAGGGAATGTGGGAGAACTGCTCCTCCTGCACAAGCTGCTTGTGCTGCTGAGCCTACCCATGGCAGCTCCCCACCCTCCCAACACCTGGGGAAAAAGATTACTTTTTCCTATTTGGCAGCATTAACTGAAGAGTGAGAACTCAGACGTTCACAGTCCTGTTGCACCATTGCAGCAGCAGTTACTGATACCAGAGGCTTGATCTGAACTGGGTAAGCTACTTGAAAAGAGCAAGAGAAGTGCTACAGCATCCACAACATTATAAAGTTTTTTTCTAACAGTTTCAGAAATCTCTTTGCTAGAAGACTTACAAATTTATCTCATATCACTGAGTTCAGGCCGATCTCTGTGGCTGTGTGCATGAGCATCGGTGACAGAAAGAGGCTTGGTAGAGTGGAAGGTGTTTGCTCACAGCAGCACTTTGCAAGTCTAGACCGAGAGACTGCACATCTTGCTGGATAGTTTTAACTTGCAGGAAGAGACAATACATGGATCTTGTATATGAAATGCAAATTTCCAGTTCAAATTTCATCTAATGAAATAATAATTTAAAAAAATAATCAGGATGTAAAAATACCCTTATGTTTTAAGAAAATACTGTTAGTCCTCTGACCCTTCTTTGTAGATTCGCAAGGGATTTTTTGATAGAGGTGTAAATCTTATACTATGCATTTTGAAAGCTGCACAAACTATTTCCAGGAGCACACACAAAAAAACCCACAACCGTTTGCCCCTCAACTGATTGGAGTTTAAAGGCTTCAAATTCTGTAAAATAATAAACTGGTTCTATGACAGTTGAAATGTAAGGGCGAGTATCTGAACATGCCAGATGTCAGCAGACACAGTAAAGCCATCTCACATCTGAAACCAAGGAGAAAAGATATGATGAAATTTCACAGTTCTTTACTTGTGCTACTTTACATGTCCTCTGTATCTCAATGTACTGAATTCAACATTTCATTTAAAAACTGGTTTCTTTAGTAGGATTTTCAACAAAATTCCGGGCATGCTCTTTTTCAATGGGAAAAGTCCGTATTAATAATTGTTACTTAGGTTAGAGTATACTTTTTTTCCTGTTGCCTTCTTCCTATGGTGAAGTTGAATATAGAAGATATAACTATGGCTAACATTTTGATATAGAAATTTAAAAAGAAAAAGCTTTAAATTACATAAGGCATTTCTCCTACTCCTCCCTTCCCCACATTCCCCACTCACCTACAAAAGAACATACCTGTTTCTGTGATAAAAGAGAAAACATAACACTCAAGGACAGGTTAGTATTTGATGATTTCTAGTTAAAATGAATCAATTCAATACCAATAGTTACAAATCAATGTAATTTATCCCATGCAATAAACTGCAGGAATTCAAGTCACAGTGATAAAAATCTGTGTACTTGTCTAGTTTCACCAGCTCCTTTTAGATTCATTTGAACCCAGCCGGTATATCATCAGTATTGCTGCTTCTTACATTAACTCCCCCAGCAGCCACCTGTACCTTAAATGATCAAATATTTAACCATAGGCAATTTGTGCTTGAGCAATAAAAGCAGCAGGCAGATCCTATCTCAGGAACTTGTCATTAACACAGTAAGGCTTAGCTTTGCCTGAGAGCACTAAGGCACACTGTGTTCTAAATACAGAGAGATGAACGCTCCCTGATGACAACTCTTTGCAATGGAAAGCATCACTAAACAACCTCAACCCAAAGACAGAGACCCAGGTTGTCCTGCCTTCAGCCATTAGTATAAATTCCCAGTGGGAGTTGGAAAAGGATGCTAAAGCCTATGCACATTGGAGCTCTATTCTCTGTTCTTGAGAAAAAGAAAACTTGAACTAGTGCAATGCTGGTAAATTACAGGAGTGTCACCCTGCAGAGGTGGGCTGCTGAAATAGTGCATTTACTAGGCATCAGTCAGCTTTAAGCAGTAAGCTGCTGTGCCTTATCAAACAGAGGGGGGAGAGGAGCACCAGTATTTTGAAAACAGACTAAGGTTTATTCTGATAAAAGATTACAGCTCAAATTAAGCTCTTCCTGCTTAAACAAGGTGCGCAAAGGAAAATGGGGATTGAAAAGAGATCCTATGAGGGCATTGGCTGCAACAGAAACTAGACAAACCAGTTTTTAAACACTTCTAAGACTTTGAAGCAAATATTTAGCCGTAAACAA